TCCTGAGTCACATTATAAAACCTGCTTCTTAAGGCTGGGTATGTTGCTCAGTGGTAGATTGCATACTTATTAGTCAGGAATCCCTGGGTTCAATTCCCAGTGCTGAAAAAAAAATATGATAAAAATAAATAAAACCCGTTTCTTGTTTAATTAGAGGCTATTATTCCAACTTAACTTTTATTTTTATTTGTTTGTTTGATTTTGTTTTTCTTGCAGAGTGGTTATTTCTTCAACAGATATACCCATTCCCCATAGTAGAAACTGGCTAAGACCATTTTGGAACTTCAAACTTCCCAACATCAAAGATGCAATAAAGCTTTGGAAAAATAGTGTGTGGTCTATATACAGCTGGTGCCAGAACTGTGTAGCCCAGGTATGGGTTTGACATACCTGTTTTCAAAACATTTGGTGTTTTTATTCATATGGGTATGTGCTTAGGTCAGCTCAACACTCAGATGAAGCTCAAATAAGATGAGTTTATGGGGATCATGATTGCTTTTGCTTCTATATGACATATATTAAACAACTTGCTGTTTCCTTTTTTCCCCCTCTTTATTATATTGCTCATAAGATTCAGGATTCTTTACTTATGAATTTCAGGGTTTAGAAGTATTRAAAGATACCATCTTTCCATCCCGAATCTGCCAACGAGAACTTTACAGTCTAAAACAACAATTTTGCATTTTGCAAAATGAATTATGCAAGCTCCAAGAAACATTGAAGGTTGGTATTATCAAATAAAAGACAAATTCGGAATTAGGTAAGGAGGRATTTTATGTCTTTATGATTTTAGTCTTTATGAACAGACTATTCTAATATGAAAAATATTCTGACCATGAGATCTATGATTATCTCAAATATCAGGCACAAAATGCCTAATGGAATACTATTACTAAGGAAGAAGACAAAAATGTATATTGGGAGGCATTTAGCAGTCTCTGCCACACACACAAAACAGAAATGCAAACTGAACTTCAGTGCGTAACATTTTTACCCTATCAAATGTGCAAAACAAATACAAAAAAACAAAATGGTAGGGGGTGTGTTGATGCACACCTGTACTCCCAGCTACTCAGGAAGCTGAGGCAGAAAGATCACAAGTTTCAGGCCAACCTCAGCAACTTAGTGACCCCAAAGCAATTAAGCAAAACCCTGTCTCAAAATATAAAATTAAAAAATGGACTGGGGATGTTGCTCAGTAGCAGAGTGCTCCTGAGTTCAATTCCCATTATTGTGTGGGAGAAAAAAGAATATGGCATTATAATTGGGAATGTAGCTTAATGGCAGAGCACTTTTCTAGCATGTATGACCCCCAGATTCAATCCCAAGTGTCCCCCTCCCCATATACATAAAGAATACAACATTAAAATAAATGTAGAAGTATATGCAAAACAGTGTTTATAGGATGCTTCCATGAATGATTAAAATATACATACTTTTTTGGTGGGGCATGGTAGCAAATACCTATAGTCCCAGCTGCTAGGGAGGCCCGGGCAGCTTGAGCTTAAAAGTTCAAAGGCAGCCTGGGCAACATAGTGTGACCACCATCTCAAAAAATAAATAATGAAAAAAGTTAAAATTAATCAAAATGTCCTTATAAAATATATGTCTAATCATATATGGAAACATATATATGAATTATATACATACTTATATATCTATACATGTATGTAAAGAATGTTTTGAGCTGGGATATAACTCAATTGTAGAGTGCTAGCCTAGCATGTGTTAGGCCCTGCTTTTGACCCAGTAGAAAACAAATTATACACTCAAATTAAGAGAATCTGAAGTTTATTTTTTTTTTTTTATTGGTCGTTCATAACATTACATAGTTCTTAATACATCATATTACACGGTTTGATTCAAGTGGATTATGAACTCCCGCTTTTACCCCGTATACAAATTGCTGTATCACATCAGTTACCCTTCCATTGATTGACATATTGCCTTTCTAGTGTCTGATGTATTCTGCTGTCTGTCCTATTGTCTACTATCCCCCCTCCCCTCCCCTCCCCTCCCCTCCCCTTTTCTCTCTCTACCCCTTCTACTATAAATCATGTCTTCCATTTGTATTCTCTTGACTTACCCCTCCTTACCTCTTATATGACATTTTGTATAACCCTGAGGATCGCCTTCCATTTCCATGCAATTTCCCTTCTCACTCCCTTTCCCTCCCACCTCTCATCCCTGTTTACTGTAAATATTCTTCTCAAGCTCTTCGTCCCTACCCTGTCCTTGTTTACACCCCTTATATCAAAGGAGTCATTTGGTATTTGTTTTTTAAAGATTGACTAGCTTCACTTAGCATAATCTGCTCTAATGCCATCCATTTCCCTCCAAGAGAATCTGAAGTTTAAGATAAGATATGAGCAGGACATAGAAAAACAAAGGATCAGGTAGTATTGTGAGGCTTGCAAGAGCGGAGTTTCCTTCCCACTCTGGAAGGATTGGGAGGAATAACAGTTTAACAGAACTTGGAGACCCTAAAGGGCTCTTTGGCAGGAGTAAAAGCTTCCCTTGAAACACCCAAGCAGCCTAAAGAGAGCCCCTGTAGAATCTGTCTCCCTTACTCTGATTTTTAGCTACAAAGCTCCATGGTCAGGGATCACTGAGATGGTCTATATTGTAAAGTCTCTCAGGTCCCAGAAAAAGTGAAGGAGCAAACAGAGAATTATTCCACCCCATTATACAAGAAATGGGTGCTGGGTGCAGTTGCACACACCTATAATCCCAAAAGCTCAGGAGGCTGAGRCAGGATGATCATGAATTGAAAGCCAGCCTCAGCAAAAGCGAGGTGCTGAGCAACTCACTGAGACCCTGTCTCTAAATAAAATATAAAATAGGGCTGGGGGTGTGGCTCAGTATTTGAGTGCCCCTGAGTTCAATCCTCCGTACCCAAAAGAAAAGAAAAAAAATAAGAAATTGGTAGTGGTGTTTGTTTTTGTAGAGGGACAGTTTGGTAGCTAAGTCAAAGATAGGAAAGGCCTTTCTTTTTCACTGTATACTCTTGCATCTTCTGAGTTTTGTGCTCTGTGTATGTAATATCTATTTAACAACAAACGTAGAAAATAATTTCTAAAACATAAAATAAAATTAATTSACCAATTGAGCTTTTGGTTCTAGAAGTAACTTTGTTGTTTTGAATTCCTCTGATTTTATAACTTCCTGATTTTATATCAGAACAGTTTGCTGCTGATAACTAGGATGTGAAGTGGTTCAGACCTTTTTTTTTTTTTTTCACTGTGGTGCTAGGACCTAAACCAGGGTCTTGTACATGGTAAGCAAGCTCTCTATCACTGAGCTACACCCCAAATCTCTCTTATAAATACTCAAGAGTGGTTTTGAATTTCCTGACTGATGCATGCAGAAAAAAAAAAAAACTATAAATATCCATTCCAAATCCCCCTAAGTGACACCTCTGTTCTCAGTAATTCAACATTGTGCTCGTTGATCTGGAAGGAAGCTTCTGGGATTCCACCTCTGCTCCCCAGAATTTACACTTCAAGGTGAACTAGCCAAAGGAGGGAAAGGCAAAGTTTCCTCAACTGTAACATTGGAATGATACAATTTGTAGGGAGCTAAGTGGATGAGGACCTCCAAAAAGATAATGTTCAGGTCCTAATTCCTAGAACCTATAAATATTACCTTATTTGGGAAAAAGGATTTTAAGATGAGACATTCCTGAATTATCTGGGTGGACCCTAAATCTAGTGATAACTGTCCTTGAAAGAGAGATACACAAGAGAATTCATACAGAGACAAGCAGGTGACCATAGAAACAAGAGATTGGAGTATTGCAGTGACAAGCCAAAGAATATTGACAGCTGCCTTTAACTGGAAAAGGCAAGGAAGGGGTTCTTTAGAGCCTTGAGAGGGAGCACAGCTCAGTTGACCCTTTTGATTTCAGACTTCCAGCCTGCAGCATTGTGAGACAATAGAGTTTGATTGTTTTAAGCCACCAAGTTTGTGATAATTTATAGTAGCCACAAAAAATTAATATATCACCTTATTTAATAGGGTYACTGTTATTTGTTATTTGCTAGGGTTGGCATAATAAAATACCACAGATCGTTTATACAACAGAAATTTGTTTTCTCACAGTTCTGGAAGCAAGAAGTATGAGATCAAGGGGTCAGCAAGGTTTTCTTCTGAAGAACCTCTGTTGGCTTATAGATGGCTGCCTCTCACTGTGTTCTCACATGATCTTTCCTGTCTGAGTACATTTCAGGTGTCATTTCCTTTTGTCCTAGGAATAACTGTTACATAGGATTAAGATTCACCCTAAATGTCTCATTTTTAATTTCACTATCTCTTATTTTTTWAAATTTTTTATTTGTCCTTTTTAGTTATACACGATGGTAGAGTGTATTTTGACATATCATACATACATGGAGCATAACTTCCCATTTTTACAGCTGTACATGAGGTGGAGTTACACTGKTTTGTGTGTCCATTTATGAACATTAGAAAGTTATGTTTGTTCAATATCTTTCCCATTCCTACCACCATCTCTTTGAAAGCCATATGTCCAAATAAATCACATTTTGTAGTACTAGATTTTAAGACCTCCACATGAATTTTGGCCCATAATTCAACCCAAAACAGTCATAT